AAAGACGTCTCCGTGGTCATGTGGTCGGCGTGACTAAACGCCAAAGGCGCACGGAACGCTATTACCATCTCACCAAAGGTGGTTCCTATTTTTCTACTTGCATTTTTACATGCTTTCAAACTGCTAGGTTGCCAGAAGCTGGGGCAAGTAACGGGAGCTCACTCCGTTACGCAGTGCTAGGGATTCGAACTGCCAACCTTTCTGATCGACTAGTTCAGCATCTTAGCCACTGAATCTAGTCTTGTATAGTTTTACAAGGACCAATATTAGAAGAACAGAGATTACTAGCAGATATAGCTCCCCATCTGTTCTGAGAATCTTGTGAAAATCATGGCTTGTCTTAGCATGAATGTTGATAGGGCTCATACATAAAACTCAGGGACTCAGATTGTGCCAGTCTGCAGTTTAATAATAATCTGGCCCCTTGGCAGGTGTGCTACAATCAACAGCATGGAACGTGGGGAAACAATGTCATTTAACTGTGCAGGCATGCAAGGACAGTATGTGACCATCACAATCCCGGGGAGATACGAATACCTAACAATCTGTGAAGTGCAGGTTCTTGCACATCCATGGCTTCAAATAGGTAAATAGAAACTGTGTGAATATTATGTGCACAGTAGTGAACAGAGGATGTATGGCTTATGTAATGTTCTGTGTTTGCTGTATTGTACTATATTTCATCATAATGGGGATTTTGCTTTACATCAGACATCTAATGTAAGAAAAATATAGACTAAGATGCACATACCTTTAACTGACAGCATTGATGGTTTCCTGTTTTGTTGCTATAAGAAAAGTGCATTCTTGTATTTATGGGGTGATCAACAGAATAGCAAAATAATCAGACAAAGAGAAAGATGATTTACTGTTTCACAACATCTTTCATTTCATGGAAAAGGAGATAAAAGTTATACAGTTAATAAATATTCAGGTAGTAGGAGCTGCATTGCAATAGTGGGGATTTATTGGTCTGAAGGTGTAACCCTTAGCTATCCTGAAGCTGAGCTATAAAATTTTACCAGTGAAATGGCTAGTTAGAAAAGAATGTTTTTTATTTTATTTATTTTTTAAAAAAATTATGATCTCAAAAGGGGACTTTTAGGAGACAAACTGCCTGCATTGTTTATTTTAAGAGAGAGAGAGAGATTGATTGATTGATTGGTTTTCATGAGGGTGGGGTAAAGCACCCTTTTCCATATCTACATCCTCTTTCATTTCCTAGTAGGTCAAACTAGCAAATCTTATTCTTGAATATTAGAAATCAGACATTTCATTTCTTACAGTTCATGATGGAAGAAGGAGTCCTGTTCGAGACAGTGAAACTAACTCAGGTATGTGAGAAATCATCATATCTTTGCCCAGATGTATCCACATGTACAATTCACCTGTCAAGAGGATCTCTGACAGGTCACTGGGGCGTGTGGGTGAATACAGAAGTAATAGGGAGAAGTTAGTAATTGAATGTCACTGATTTGCTTCGTCCTGACTGATGTTTGGCAGGAAAGACACAAAACAAGTATCGGATCAAAAAGGTGGCGATATGTTACTACTGCTCCTGCTGCTTTTTGTCTCAGGGCCTTTGAGATTAATTCATTGAAAGTGAACTAACAGAGGAAGGGAACAGAGATAGAGGCAGAAGTAAATAATGAATCATTTTATATATAACTATATATGTTGGAACACTCTAATCGGTGGGATTCAAATAATTTAACAACCAGTTCTCTGCCCTAATGACCATCTGGGTAGGTGGGGCTCAGGGGTCATGTGACTGGGTGGGCGTGGCCAACTCAAGGTCACTCAGGTCGATGGACGCTTCACCTTAGCTGTTACAATGTAATAAGGGTTAACCGGAGAGGCAGTTTCTGTAAGCAGGNCACACTAGTGTGCCGCGGCACAGTGGTTGAAAAACACTGATCTAGATGATGCTAAGAGATTATTTTCTGATACATCAAATGTGTGTCTCATATTATTAGATGCTCTCGTTTGTTTTTGCATTAAATAAATGTACCATTGTCTCCATTTCCATGCCAGACCCTAATATAGCAGTGGGAAAACTTTCATCCCAGTCTAGTACATTTGAAGAAAAAGGGGAGTCATGGAAGGCCATTGATGGATCCCTGGCAAATATCTACACAAATGGAGACTGTACTCTGACAAAGAAGGATTTTGAGCCCTGGTGGATGGTAGATTTGACTTCAGAATTTCAGGTATCTGCAATAGTGATCACAAACAGAGGAGACTGTTGTGAGTCACGAATAAAAGGCGCTGAGATTCTGATTGGAGATTTGCCACAGAAGGGCGGCACAATGAATCCCAGGTACTGGCACAATACTATATTGTCCTCTTAAGTGGGTTTATGAGAAATAAGTCTTACTGAAACTTAAATCCGAGCATTTGTGTGAATAAACCCAAATGAAGCTTTTTTAAGACATGCAACTCACAATAATTTAGGAAGATTTAGATTTCCTGTCCTGTGGAGTGTTGCAGAATGTGGCATTACAACATTCTGGATAAGTAGCAATTTTAGGAGGAGAGACATGTTAGTTTATGGTGCCAAAAAAAAAATCAGACGGAGTTTGGTATAATCTTTTCTGACTAAATTTTTTTAAAGGACATACACTTTTTGATCTGTAGCTCACTTCATTGACTTAAAACTGTAATAGAGCCTGCTCATCACAGTTGTAAGTGTGACAGTTATAAACTGGGTCATCCATCCAATTTTATGACATTTTTGTGGCAGTCGTTAAGTCATTAAGTGAACCAATGTACTAGTTTTGCTGAAAACTAGTAAATGGCTGAACTGTCGTAAATTCAGTCACATGACACTCCAAATAGCCGTGAATTGAGTTGTTGAGCTCCCAAAATAATTCTTTTAAGTAATTTTCTTGCCGTGTCAATTGTAAGTCCAGTTTTGATATCATCTCTATCTTGTCATCTAAAATTTGTTCTATATCTATAATTTCAATGATGACATGTTTTGGACATAGTCTATCTATACAAGCAGACATCATTATACACATTGTTGATATTGTGGCTATTTTCTGATTCCAGTCTTCAAAATTCTTCTTTAATATATCCATTCTTAGAACGTTTTCAAGATTTTTCAGGTTATAAATTGTTCCTCTTAACTTTAGCCCCATCTAGTGCCTATTTGTTGAATTCATGAAATTGCATTTTTGTTTTGTAAAATCCTAAAGAGAACTTATTTCCAGTGAGCAGCTGTTAGTTCTTTATAATTAATTCCAAAATCTTATTATGAAAATTTCAACATTTCAATTTTATTTGCTCCTTTAGCCCATTCATAACTTTCTAAAATCAAAATCTTATTTAGCTTTTTGCTGCTTATATCAGATTATTTAAATTCTTAAATTTATCATTAAATTTTTCTTTCATTCAGGATTGAAGGCAGACTCAACTGGCATTTTCAGATTGGCCAATCCAAGGATCTTTAATAGCTTAGAAGTAGTTAATGAGCAATTTCTCAAAGTGGTTAGAGTGCGGTTTGTGAATTTAGTATTCTTTAAAAGTGCAAACAAGATAATCTCATTATCTCCTGGCACTCACACCAGTGGAAAACAGCTGTCCTTTGATCTCCTTATGAGGAGCAGCCTTCCTCACTTGTCCCAATCTCCCATCCCCTCCTTATGTGGGAAGTTCCAGGGAACCATTTGATTAACCGGTTTCTTGGTCTTTGCTACAGCTGCCCATCTTCAGTTTGCCATACCTCTCCTGGAAATCCCAATTAAATTTTCCTTCTGATGCTTGACATGCAGCTACATCTACTTGACACCACTGTGTAATCCCGACATAACACTTTTCAGGTGTTTAGCAGTCATCCAGATGTTCTATAGCCACATCTGTAGCCATAGTTCCAGCTAGGCATGGTTATTTTGATTGAAAGAAGTTCCAAAGTTTTAATTTTGAGTATTACACATTATGTTGAGCTGAACATTAATAAACTGCAATTGTTTTTGGAGAAGTTAAATATTTTGAAGCTGGGTTAAATAATAAATAGGTACTAATCGATGTTTGATCAGTGCACCAATGAATCTAAAACTTACCCTGTGGTAAGATGAATAGCCAATGAATTTAATAAATAAATAAATACAATTTCATCTTGTGAATTAGTGCATCTGCAGTAAAATGTAACTATTTTACAAGTCAATGGGAAGATTGCCAATCTATACCATCATATTTATTCTACTTGCTCCAGAAGCAAATTAAATTGCACAGTATAGTTTTAGGTAAAGGTAAAGGTTCCTCTCCCACATATGTGCTAGTCATTCCCAACTCTAGGGGATGGTGCTCATTTCTGTTTCAAAGCCGAAGAGCCAGCGCTGTCCAAAGACGTCTCCGTGGTCATGTGGTCGGCGTGACTAAACGCCAAAGGCGCACGGAACGCTATTACCATCTCACCAAAGGTGGTTCCTATTTTTCTACTTGCATTTTTACATGCTTTCAAACTGCTA